ACTCCAGGGTTTTTACTTTATTTCACAATAAACCTTTTAACCCTCTCAGTGGTTGTTGTTGTTGTTTGCGATCCGGCCTCTGGTTCATGACAGCATTGGCTCCCTGTGCGCCTCAGGGTTGATTTTAAGATTATTTTAATGGTTTTTAAATGTCTCAATGGTCTCGCACCATCTTATCTTGCAGAGCTGCTGTTCCCCTATGAACCCCCACGGACCCTAAGGTCCTCTGGCACTGGACTACCAACAGTTCTAATAGTCAGAACTCACACTTACGGTGAGGCTTCTTTCCAGTACTATGGCCCCCGTCTGTGTAATAGTCTGCCGGAGAACCTCAGGGCCGCAGAGAATGTTGTTGTTTTAAGGAGCAGGCTCAAGACCCATGTTTTTAACTGCATTTCCTGAACTGGTTCATTTCTGTTCAGTCTATATATTTTCCATATAGTTTTATTTTATTTTGTGTTTTTGTTGTTTATAATTTTGTACAGCACTTTGATCTGCTTTAGTATGAAGGGTGCTTTATAAATAAAATTGATTGATTGATTGATTGATAGAAGTAAATCATTTTACAAAAAAATGAGCTAAAAGTTAACTTGTTTAAAAGTTGTTTATTTCCATTGACATTAATTTCCTAAATTCAGGCAGTAACAAATGCAAACTTGCAGAATCAAAATGAAATATTTGAGTTTAAAGGGCAGCCTGTATATTTCCTGAGTAAAGTAAAAAGAAAAAAGTACATCTCTCAAAATAAAGTAAAAAAAACAACATAAAGTGGGAACTTTAGTACTTGTGCCACTTGTCTCAGCCTTCTAAAGAACATAGTGTGAAGGACACGCTTTTAACAGCATTAAGGGTTCGTGGTTCAGAGGAAAAACTGCAAGCAACCACTCATAAGATAATCCTCAAAATTTTGAAGTATTTTTTTCTGGACAGCCTTCGAAAGTATTCTTTGCACTTAACTTATTCATCCAATGTGTCATTTTTAACATCTGATGGCCATTCAAAATGTTGTACAGAACAAAACAAGAGGACTTTATCAATGATTTTATTGATTTGTTTTATTCTGAAGCACGGATGCAGGTAAACAATAACAGTTTCAACTTATTTGTTTATTATTATTATTATTATTTTAAAATTAACTTATGGACTTAAGACTATTTTTGTACAAATGATCAGGCTGCAAGGAATGGCAACCTCTACAGAAATTATTATAATGATGTAAAGAATTAGCAAAATAGCAAGAACAAGCAGAGTTCCTCAGTCAAAGATCCAAAAGATTTATCCAAAACATTTTCTACAAAGGAAATCCAGGTTATAAAAAACACAAAGACTGACACAGACCAGTGGAAGAAAAGTCTGAGTTAACTGGCAATGACTTAAATTTGTTTTACTTTGAAATTAAATTCAAAATTTTATTATTCACTTATAAAGCTGTTAATGGTCTTGGCCCACTGTATCTGACTGAACTTATAGCTGTTGGTGAATGTAGGAGAACATTGAGACCATCCATTACTTTTCTACTGTCTGTCCCAGAGTCCAACTACAAACAATGGAGTGACCGGGTCTTTTCTGTCGTTGCACCCACACTCTGGAACCAGCAACCTCAGGACCTGCGCTCCATCACTGACATGGAGCATTTTAAGTCTAAACTTAAAACCTTTTTATTCAGGCAGGCTTTTAATACCTAGTAGTTCTTTGGCAATCTTGCTATGTTTAAATTGTTTGTTTTTAATTTTTAACTGTCTGTTTTTTTAATTCTTAATTGTTTTTAACTTGTGTACTGTGCAGCACTTTGTGCACCTTTTGGCTGCTGGAAAGGGCTTTATAAATACAATTTGATTGATTGATTGATTGATTGAAATGTCATTCTAAAGGTTTTATTCACAGTTTTTTTTAGTGTACTTTCAGAAGTTTTTTTAATGGATTTATAACTTATTTGTGATATTTATTAAGTCAAAATTAAGTGTTACAGTTAGAAAAGCATATCTGTCTTGATTTTGTTTTGCTTTTCTATCGTCATACAATTTTGCTGTTAACACGCTGCAAAAATTAAAGCAACAGAAGAGTTTAAACTGCAATTCTTGTTTTTTTTTATCCAGACAACGGCACACATGAAGATTGAATACAGTCATTTTAAATTTACAACAACAAAACATGGAAAAGCACATGATCAATGGCATCAAAAACTGTAATTACACTACAGTCAAATAATATAATTACTCTTTACCATTGTAAGATCTGAAGAGAAATCAGGTGGTTGCCAAATGTTTAATTTATAAAAAGCAAGACTCAAAGTGACATTAGTATTTGTTTTTGTTTAGATTTAATTGTAGGTAAAGAGTGAAAATACAGCTTGTCTCTATTCTGTAATTAAGAGCTGCCAGGAGGACAACAGGAGGACAACAGGAGGACAA